TGGGGCTCCAGGTGTCCCTTGGCTTGTGGCCACATCACCCTAACCTCTGCTTCTGTGTCCAAGCTTCCCCCTTCTGAGAAGGACCCCAGTCACTCCGGGTGTCGGGCCCACCCTAACCCGGCACAGCCCCATCTTCCCTTGACTCCATCTGCAAAGACCCTATTTCCAAACAAGGTCACTTTCACAGTGACCCCAACTTCCCAATATCCCCAACGTTTGGTCTCTGCTTAACTATGTTCCCCAAGGGACACTGCCTGAGATGCTCCCCCCCCTCAGGATTGGCTGGTTGGCCCATGGGCTGTGCATCCCCTGAGGCTCCGGGGACACTGCAGGGGACAGAGTGCAGGCTCACTCTCCTGGGTAGTCAGACAGCACCCCAGCCCTACAATTCCCATTTGTGGGGCAGGAGAACCCAGGAGGGCGATGGGGTGAAGGGAGGGGCTGGGGAGGAGGCTTCCGGCGGTCAGGAAGGCTTCTCTGCTGAGGGGGTGGCAGAGCAGAGCTCGAGGGTCATGAGGAGCTGCCACTTAAGGGTAGGGGACCAGCGAGAGCAGAAGCCTGAGCTGGAGACATGGGGACAGAGAAGGACCCATGTGGTTGATAAAGGGCACAGCAGAGGAGACGGCTGGGGGACCTCACAGGAGTGACAAGGTTCACTCTGAGTGCTGGGAGAGGGTGACTGTCCAGGAGACAGGTGGTGGCTGGGATGGGGGCCACTGTCTCTCGCCGGCTCTCCCCAGCTGCCCCTTGACTTGGGCTCCTGGGGTGGGGGGTGGAGGCTGTGCTGGCCTTGGCTTTAGCCCACTGACCTCCAGCAGTTCTGGCCATCGACGCCCAGCCCTCTGCAGGGTGAGGAGGTGCCTGGAGGAGCCCTGGGTGCCCGGCTCCTGGACCGGTGGTGGTCTCTGCACACCAGCTCGGCTGCCCTCCGATCCTCCTGTGTTTCCCAGGCAACTGATTCAATTCAGCCTGTCTGCCTGGCGCTTACACCCCCACGAGTGCCACCGCCTGGCTCCAGGCAGGCTCGCCCGCTTGGCGCACACAGGCAGGCAGGTGTGGATGAGCGCAGAAGGCCGGGCTCCAGGGAGGGGGTGGTCCGGCCCTTGGGGCCATCCCAGCCCAGCAGTCGGGCCGGGCAGGGTGCCCTGAGTGGATGCTGTGCCTTTCGACACCTCTGAGCTGAGAGCACGTGCCCGCTGGCTTCACTTGGAAACTGGAAGGGGCTAGTCTTGTCGCCTGAGTCGTCTTAATCCTGCCCGATGGCAGGACCAACACCCCAAAATCAGAGTGTGTGGGGGAGCAAAGTGGGGCTTGGACCACCACAGCTGGCTCTAGCCGAGCCACTGAGTCATCAGAGGCAAACTTCCCCTACCCCTCGTGGGAGCCAGGGGACCATTCACACCCTGGCTCTGAGGACGCCAGGAGCTGAGATCCCTCTTCCTTGGAGTGGAGATGCCAGGGAGGGATGGGGCCCTGATGGATGGCCACAGACATCGCCCTGATTCTGCGCCAGGTGCCTTGGAGGGGAGCTGGTTCACCATCTACCAAGGTCTCCATGGTGGACAAGGCAGGAGCACACAGTGAGGGCCAGCACTGGGGGCTCCGGGTCTGCAGGGTGGGGCCCAACACCCCTGCCCCCTCGAGCACTTTCTGCTCGAGGGGGAGGCACCTCCTGCAAAACACTGGGATATTCTTTGTAAACATGAATTTTGGCTCATGAAATCTTGTTTCCGCAGCGCCAGCATCAGTCCCAACCGGAAATTATTTTCCAATGAAGCTCGGCTGCCTGTCACCGCAGCAGGTGGCTCAGAAAACGTGAGCCTTTCAATTAAGTTCAACTTTTAAACTTCCTCAGCCCAACCTTGGCCACCACTTCTCACTAATGACGCCGGGATAGCCGGGTGAGGTGGGGCTGTCAGGGGGCATGTGCTCCCGTTCCACCTCCAGAAGCCCCTGTGAGGCCTGGGGTGGTGGCAGCTGTCGGAAAGCAGCGGCCTAGGGGATGGGGGGGCTTCCTGATGAGCTCTGGCACCTGCCGTGTCTGGCTCAGGGTGGCCCCAGCTCTGGTCTCTGAGGAAGTGTCCCAGGCTGTGGGTCCCAGTAGAGATGGGGTGTGTGTGTTAATCCCCAGCAGCTGGATGAAACCAGAGAGGAGAAGCCCCAGGATGACTTTCGCATGTTGCTCTGGCCCTGCCCTCCCTCCCCAGAGTGCCAGGCCCTTGGGGGCCTCTGCTCCACCCTCATAGCCAAGGAAGACTCGGTGTCTCCCTTCTGTGCCAAAGGCTGGAGTCAGGCTCGTCCAGACCCTGACGGCCCTGAGGGCCTGCACCGCCCGGGGCACCTGCCCTCCTACCAGCCCAGCCTCCTGGATCCATCTGAGGCCCCTCCCTGCTCCTGTTTTGCTCTGCCCTTCAGGGGATTGGGCATGTGAGGTCTGTAGAGGAAGGGGCCAGAAGGGGCTGAAGTGTGAGTGGCCAGGAGGGGCCGGGACCCTGAAGACCCCGGTGCTCCTTCTGGGCCCTGTTCAGAAGCAGCAGTTCCTCACCCAGGTGTCCCCACAGCTTCCGAGCATGGCCCGAGCGCCGGGCACACACTGGTCACCGAGGCCTGGCAGGGCCTCCCTCTGCCTCGGGGGGGGGGGCCTGGCGCTAGTTCTCCTGGAAGTCCCCACGGCTGGCTTGCAGAAGGGTGGCGACACTTCCAGGAAAGGCTCTGAAGCCAGGGCCAGACAGGACCGGGGCAGGGAACCCCAGACACAGCTGCCTGGGAGTCCTCAATCAGCTGGCACCTGCCACGTGCCGGAGCTGGGAGCCCCTACACCTGGGAGCAGGCCCAGCCCCAGGCTGCCATCCCGGGGCCCCGAGAGCCCCTGCCACACCAGCTCCTCTGGTTCGCACACTGAGGGGCTGTCTTCCAGCCGTCAGGAGGCTCTGGGGGTGAGGACCCTGGTCTGGTTTTCCTGGGGTCTCCAGCATCTAGACCAGTCCCTGGCTCCGGCCGGTACTCGGGGATCACTAGGGGAATGGCCGCCTCCATCGGGAGGTCTGCACTGGCACCTGGAGAGGCCCACCTGTGTCACAGGAGGATGACTGCTCACCTGAGTGGCCTGCGCTCGGGGATGGGGGCCCGGGCCGGGGGTGCCCAAACTCGGGGCTTGGAGGAGGCAGGATTGTGCTGTGGAGAGGGGCTGAGGATTGCCCGGTGGGAGCCCCTGCAGAAGCAGGCGCAGAGCGGAGCCCCAAAGCTGGGGTGGGGACCACAGAAACGACTGGGTCCTGTGCCCGAGTGAGTGGCACCTGCTTGTGTCCACAGAGCAGCTCCTGCCACCAGCCCCCTGCACACCCCGCTCGGTGGAGTCGCCCCTGTGCCCACCTCGGGCAGCAGGGCAGGGGCTCTGCAAGGTCCAGGGTGGAGGAGGGAGCCTGGGCCTCTGCTGCCACCCAGTGGCGACGGCGCGGTCGCCGGGTGATGGGCCGGGGGACCCGGGAATCAGGGGACCCCCCCCGGCCCTCCACCCCCAGGTCCCGCCACCTGGACTTTGTCACCTCACTTGTTTTTCTTAACTAAGGAACCCGCGTCCCCCTTTTGTAAGGGCGCCGCGAGGGTCCTGGGAGGCCGCGGGGCCTCCAGAGCCGGGCCGCTGGGAAACGGGTCCTGGGGCGAGGCCACCTCGGGGGCGGCGGGAGGCATCCCGGCCCCGGGCTCCCCAAGGGTTGGAGTCAGGGCACCTGCTTCGACAGTGTCGCGAAGGGGAGGTCACCTCGTGGCCTGAGGACAGGCCGTGGGGTCCCCCAGGGGGCGGGATCCAGCGCGCAAGTGGGAAAGCGCGGGTCAGGTTGGGGTCCCCGGCGCGCATCCTGCAGGGGTCCGGTCGGGGCTCCCCGGCCAGGGACCCGCCCAGCCCCACGCCCAGCCCCGG